AGAGGAAGAACAAGATGTTACACGTCAATGGGAGTCTTTCTCCAGTTTCAAACAGTCGCTGTGTGCCTGCTAACGCATGGTGACAACCACGCTGCCAAATGAGCCCATTTGAAATTAGACAAAGGCCAGGTTTTCCACTAGGAGGGAGAATATAAGCGATCGCTTGAGCAACGTGACAAGCGTATGATTAGCTCGTCTGCCGACTGCCAACTGATTCCAGCACCAGGCTGTATGCGCTCCACTCGCTCTGCAGCCATCCACCGACTGTCTCAGAGTTTAGACCGGTTCCACTGGTGAGTGCACTCGCACCATTAAAACTTGTGATGCAAAAATGATCACTCTCACAGTAATCGCAAATCATAGCACAGTTGCAATATGTGTAAATACTCCCAATGTGATGTTTTTACTATAGTGCAGCCCTTAGAGAGGGCCCACTCCGATCAGTCTGTGGGCACAGTAGACTCTGTATTATATTTTGAAATGTACATCACACTATTGTACACAATCAATGGGGGAAATCACTTAAGTTGTAAGAGATTAGCCTAAACGACTGTTATGTAATGGGTGTTTTAGCTCATATTTGGCATGACAAGAAATACCTAAAGCCACAGGACTACTTGTGGCTTGAAGCTGATACGATGACACATTTTTTGAGTGAATCCATTAGGATCACAGCAGTCGCGTGTCCCAGCCTTCAGGCCTGCACAAATATGACCTCGTTTTCAAATTTGGCCTCTTTTTTCTAAACCTGCCTTTACTAGAATCAGTCAGGAAGGATTTGTATACACATGGACATAAAGTCAAGATGTATTAAGGTCTACTGCTTTTAACTCTATACAATTCTAAGCTGCCTGACATGGGGAAATAAAATCACTTGACTTTCATTAAAGTGCAGCAGTCGTAGCCCAGACCTTGTGTACATATTTACCTGAAAGTAAGAACACACACATGCAGGACAAAGCCAGCCCTAACCATAAAAAAAACCCACCCGTCTCCCAATTTCCTTTACACCACAACCAATGTGTTGTGGCAACAGTGGATACTGGAAAGAGAGGCCTTTTTTAATCCGCCTGTCGCCCGACTGCAGAGAGAAGGTAGACAGAAAAGGAGAGAATGTGAGAGTTATTACTGTCAACACTTACAGTGTTTACTGGCAGTGCTGGGGTGCATAGCAAAACACCCAGAGAGGAGAGAGAGAGAGAGAGAGAGTCAGAGAAAGATGTGTCAATCAGTCTGAAAGACACTGTTTCAATCCTACTCAAAAGACAGTACCTATTTGTCTCTCAGGGTCATTCCTCTGGAGCCACAAGCTTGTTTGTGTTGTGCTTCATTTCTTACTTTTCTATGGTGCTGGTAGGTGCTGGGGAATAAAGACTAATAAATCTTACATAAAACGGTCTTTGAAGACATGTTTCTACACACTTTTTGACTAAAGTTCTAAAAAGTTTGTATTTTCTAAACAAGCAGCTGTACAAAAACTAAATTATAATTGACATATGATTTAAAAATGTAATTAAGTAATCTTTAATCTTTTATCACAAGACCATAAATCTGACCAGGAATATTCGCTACAGACACAGTTTTGTCAGTACCAAAACAGTGTTGTGGTCTGATACCCAGCTTAACACACACACAAAATAGGAGAACACATATAAGCTAATTAAAAATTCTAATTACAGCACCTGTACATAAAAGTTGCTCAACTAGTTCCTGTTCCTCACTCAACAAAACTGAGTGTTACTCAGCAGTTTCTCAGTGGAACACGTTGCCTTTGATTTTTAAGGATTTATACAAAAATAATAATAATAATCACAACTATTTTACTTTCTCCTACAATTTTACTGCAAAAATAGCTAGAAAACATTGCAACAGCAGAAAAGCTGCCCTGAAATCAGCATGTGAAATCGACTTGAGATATCCTCTACAAACACAAACTTCCTTATAATGCCAAGAAATGTTCTGAGCCTGTCGCTCATTTGAAATAAGAGTGAGTGTTTCTTTTGTGTGTGTGTGTGTGTGTGTGTGTGTGTGTGTTTGAGTGTAAAAGCGGCCAACAGCCTGTGTGCTGGCCTGATCGATGGCCATAATGGAATATTTGGGCTTAAGGCCATTCACAGCGGAGTCCCCTGGTAACACTAAAGTGCATCAGGGAGTAATTTATTCTTCTGTGACTGTTGGAGTGTGGGTGAGGAATGGTTTGTGTGTATGGTGATTCATATATGTACACCTATACAGTACGTGTGAACATACTTTGATGCATGTGGGCCTTTGTACGACGCAGCAGGGCAGGGCTGGTAGCGTATTGATCCCAGCTGATACCTCGGGCTCTCCCATCGATCAGCAAAATGTCTCCAGCTCACTGCTGAGCCCGAGCCAAGCTCTTACCTCATTGCCCCGTAGCATCAGGGCATTATCTGAATTAGCTGGAGACGCAGGCTAACATGACACGTCAATATTTTCTGCAACAGTTATGTCACCACTGACTATACAACAATTACACAAGGAGAGCTACTTCGGATCTGCTTTAAGTCTCGCAATCTTTTCCCTTTCTCGCTTTCGCTCGCAAAAAAATCTCTATTCTAAGAAGCCATTCAGCGTCTTAAAATACGCATGAATATCAAATTAAAAGTCAAAACCAGAGATGATTATGTCACTTGTTGGCAAATTGCCTCTTTCTGTGTTTCCTGAAACAGGTGACAACATCTTGTCCCCAGAATGTGCGCTCCAAAAGAGTTTCAGGAATGCTGATTTGCACTGGGAACGAGCCACTGGAAAACACCCCCACCCCCCGGGGGCCGAGGAGCCGGGTGACTCAGACATTCGCAAACTCTGCCAAACAAGTTCATATATTCAGCTGCAAGACGGCATGGTCTCTCTGTTACTAAGGAGATGGTACTAAAACCTTGTGGACATACAGTAACTACAGTATCTGAGGGACAAACTGTGTCTGCGCACTCCTCTAAGGCCAGCAGTGTAGCAGTCAAATCACAGAAAGTTGGATCTTTGAAAAGTGACATCGACAAAATATACTGTATCACGCACTAAAATCAAAACTAACATTTTACATCGGGCCTAACTGTGCAGCACTCTTATTAAACCAGCTACTACAAAGTGAACAGATGGATTTATGTAGAATGTTATCAGTTAAAATGCCACTTTTTAAAAAACTAAAATAAACATTTGAACAATTTAAGAGTTGCAAAAAAGACGAATCAAGTAGTGGTTCGAAACCAATTGAATCTACAACTATTTCAGTTTCTATTCCCGCCTCAATGGAAGTCACCAGAATTGTATTACGTTTAATGACAGTGCAATGCTAAAATGTCACGACTCTTCGAAAATTCATCACAATCCGACCAGCAGCATTAAAGACAGCCACAACGTAAAAAAGGAAACAAGGACGTTTTCGGTTTCAGTTTAATATTTTTAAGTCAGTTAAGTATTTGACCAAGCCCTGCCAGGGAACACATTGATCTAGATTCCACAAAACGCTGACTTTTAACAAAAGGATTTCTGTTCAACATTTGCATACAGCAACAGATAATCAGACATACGGGCACACTGCATGGTGTCCTAAGGTCTGCATACAGACAAGAACTCCAGCAGACATCTGTCTGAGCAACACAACACATTGTATGTAGAGATCCGTAGAGATATGACTGCCGATGGCATCGCTGTTATAAAGAAACACTGTACACCTTCAGGGGTGTGAACACTCCCTGTCCCCACCCTCTATCCTAAATGTACATCACGCATTAACCTCTCTGTGGTAAAAGACCGACAGCACATAAGTAACATGCAACCTATTTCATTTGATGGGGGTAACACATTTAAATGGATTCCCTGACAGTGGGAGAGGAGAGGGGGGGCTTCTGAGAACATGTGGCTGACCTGTGAAGCGTACAGCCTGTAGCCTCCTGTGGGTCACCAGTGTGGCAGAAATAAGCAGCATTCTCTGCATTTCTCATCCCGCTCTTATGCAGAGAGGAGCATCCTCCCCGAATGAGGGCGAAAGACCCCTTTCGAAGAGGGTTAAACACATACCAGCCTTGCCCCCTGCTTTCTGCGTCTGCTCCCATCACATCAGCAGCATCCACACACCATCACTTCAGGATTTTTTAAAATCCTGAAGTGATGGTGTGTGCCGCCCTGTACGTTGCTTTTTTGAACACAACACTGTTGGATGCCTCTCTCTTGACTGAGTGACCAAGCAGCAGCAACAAGAACTGTCAGCTGTCTATCACTGTAAATAACAGCAAACAACAACTCAAAGGAGGGGTTAGATACAGTATGAAAGGTCGACATAATCAGGAAGAACTCATTAGCATCCTCGTTGTGCTTCACAGACACAACAAACATGTAACAGTTACAGTGCGTTTGATATTAAATCAGTTTACACCTTATCCTACTGTTTCCAGTGTGACTACAACATAAAACACATTGTTTTTCCCTCCTAACATCACTGTAAACAAGCGAACCCGCTCGCCACACCACCGCTCTCAACTATGGTCACACCACGCTTCACGCTAACGTTCTAATGCAATGCGTCCGGTACTTAAAAGTGAGTTTGAGCGGACCTTTGCTGGGTTTTTAACGTCACACTGTTAACACACTCTTCACATTCAGTCCCGTGTATGTGTTTTCATTGTGAAATAGTTATTACAGCTCGTTTTAACGGCGTTCAAGTGGCGTAAAAGTGATAAACTGCAAACACACTTTTTT